CTGGGATAGTCGAAGTCACAGTAATGGTCGACGAGGCCGGGCACTCCGTCACGGTGGGAGGGCACTGAGTGATGGTGTGGGTGGAAGTGGTGTAAAAGGTCGACGTTGTCCAGCGGGTTGTGGGAGGCTGCGTAGTCACCGGGGTGCTGGTAGTGACTTGAGACTCGGAAGACGTGGTGGGAGGAGACGAGGTGGTGACGACGGACGAGCTGCTAGACACAGGAGGAGTAGTAGTCTCCGTCTTGGTGCTGCTGCTGACGGGAGGAGGAGTCGACGTCTCAGTCTCGGTGGTGCAGGACGTCGTCGAGCTGCTGGTGGTGACTTGAGTCTCAGACGAGGTAGTGGGAGGAGCGGTGGTGGTAGAGATGGTAGTAGAGGAGGAAGTGACAGGAGGAGGCGTAGTCGTCGTCTGAATCGTGGTGCTCGTCACCGGAGGCGGCGTCGAGGTGCTGGTGGCCGGGGGCGGGGTGCTCGACGTGTGCGTGGCCGTGTAAGCGATGCAAGAGCAGGCCGACGAGAGGGCCGACACGCCAGGGCAGTTGCGGTACTGGGTGGGAACGGCCGCGTCGTCCGTCGTGGTGCCAGCGATCCAGCCGATACAGAAACCCGGAGCCTCGTCGGCGTAGCGTTGGTCGATGAGGTTGCGGTAGCAGCCATCATGCTCGCAATCGGGGTAGGTCCAGGCGTAGGCGCCTGCGGCCAGAGCCGAGATGAGGACGGTGGTCTTCATCGTCTTCGGTAAAGATGAGCTCGCAATAGGGCAGAGCTGATGATGGAGGAAGCGAATGTGGTGGTAACGAGAGGGGTGGATGAGAAAGGCAAACAAGAACAGATGAAGAACGAGAGACGGAGAGCTTCTTGTACACAGCAAAAGTTGAGAGTAGTTTGCTTGAGAGGAGGAGGATGAGGAGGAAGCCTTGGGTCCTTATACGTCTGTTCGCTTGTCATACATACACCCCAGGTTGGCCGGGGCTCGGCCAACAAACAGACATCTTTGGCGCCCGTTGCGTTGCAGCAGTACCAGTTTGTCTCTTCCAGGTTCTCTCTCTCTCTTCTCTCTAGCGCAGGATTTCGAGAGAAGCGTGGTTCCCAACATGGATACCCAGCCGCCCATGGCATGATACGAGCCCGGCTGGAGGTACCAGCCAGCATGTGCCTGTAAATAAACCCTGCAGTAGTCCAGGTCGGACTTGAACAGCGCACCCCCCTTTCACACCCCTGCGATCCCGTCTGAGTGGGAGGTTGGTCACTGATGAGCAGCTCTGTTGCTGTCAAGTGGATGGCTGTGACGGCTTCCGCACATCTTGGGCTCCACCCCCCCTCCTCTTTCGCTTGATTGATAAAATGGAGAATTGGTTGGCCAGCAAGGACTCTTTTGACAAGAGGTCTAATAGCGGCAAGTAAAAGTCGCTTTCCACACGATGGGCAGTGTCCCCGCTCCGCCTAAACTCAGAAAGGAACTCTAGCGGCTGCGTTTTCTTTGGCCCGTAGCGAACCAAAGGCTTTCCTTTGTTTCCATTCGGGCATTGTTTCACGAATGGATGATGCCAGGGGGGTCCTACAGGCGCCGTGACTTTTCTCTCTTCCCTCCCAGTGGCCAGTAACGCAACCTCTTTTCAGTTTTTTTGATGGCTGGTAAAGGCTGTCTGCTGCTTGAATGGGCCAAAGGTACATGACCGCAGGCAAGAAGGAGCGCTGTGCACCTCTCATTTCCACCGCTTTGGTGCAACACCAGGCATATCCAGGCTTTGCTTCTGGCCAGTTGATGTTGGCAACTGTCATCACAACTAGCCCGGCTTCTTTTTTTTTTTTTTTTGATTGTATACGAAGCACCCTGTTCGTATCCAGCACGTTATTTATAAGTTAGGGCGCTGGAGCTAACAATTGAGCCCCGGCCATCCGTGTAGTCAGGGGTGTTGTCATCGCCTCAAGAGCGAGCCAGAAATCGTTCAAGGCACCCGTAGGCTGTAGCAACGAGCCATCAAGCCTCGAAAAGGGCCGCAAGGAGTAAAATGCTGCGTGCCCTGCGTGAGGGGGGGTGGCGGCTGGAAACCCGGTACCACCTACAATTCGAAAGCGTCTGTGGTCGTACGCCGCAACTCCGTTCTTGTGTGCGCTGGCGATGATCCTTTTTGGCGCTGTAGATTGGCTGGCAACTGGCTGGTCACTGGAAGAGGTGGCCGGAGATCAAGACCAGCTCAAAAAAGAGACATGCATAGTCGTACGTCCTTTTTTCTGACAGGTACGAGGTCGATGACGGCCTGCAGGAGAGACAGTTTACGAGGTTGGTAAATGATTTTCCTTTTGGCTGCTGAAGCGCTGGAGGATGCTGCTACCTATCTCGTGTACTGAGTAGTAAACCGTGCAGTAGTGTCGCGCCGTGCTGTTCCTTGTTGTCAGCTTTTGACTGGTCACGACCACCACACTCTTTTTTTTTCGGTCTTTCTCCTGCGTCGCTCATCCTAAAAATGCATAGTGCGTTTGATGCATCTTGTTATTAGTTATTCTCGCTTCTAGCAAGAGCTGCATGTGGATAGCCGGCCGGCCATGGCTGTCTGCGGATGACTTCTGTCACCACTTTGCTTCTGCAGCGGCTGTGCTTGGTTCCCCGGCAATCGATTTCGTCCACTACTTCTCCCTCTTCCTGTCCATGTCAACAGCCATCACCGCGTGGAATCAATTTATTGCCGTACCGGTAGTTGCTCGTTTCGCACATCGCTTGTGGATTTATTTCACTGTTAATCCACCATAAAGCTGGCTTGCCGCCCACCGGGTACCCGTAGCCGCCCGTGTGCGGCATATCTTTTTTTAGCAGTCTCTCGACAATCTCGACAGGGGTGTGGCTTGTCAGTCAACACCTTGGGCCGCCATCTCGATTTCTTCGTATGACGGTGCCGGAGTCTCGCTTGGCGAATAAGCTATTATTACTGGCAAGTACGGATATACGGTCTCTGGATGGGGCAGCATGGAGGGGGAGGGGGGAAAGCAGACTGGCTGCGAAGAAGGCGCCGAGTCGGGGATTGGAACATGGCAGAGCTGTCCGGCGGCCGTAACACAGTGTGAGCGGTGTGTGTGTTTGCTGATTATGATGATGGACCTGCCGGAGCAAGTCCGCAGGCTGGCCAGCCCGTGTACGGAGTAACGGGCACGGTGATGGTGAGTTTGTGTGGCACGCCTTGTACGATATGAATCCAATTGAGAAGATGTGCCTTTTTTTTTTCTCGTTTCCAGCCTCTCGGGGTTCAGCTGCCCATCAAAAGACGGCATGACGCCCCGTGGAGATGCTGAGCTGGCAGGGCTGAGGCAGCAGGAAGGACCGGAGACATGCCTTTTCTTTGCCAAGTCGCTCATATTTTTCCGCCTGATGATAACATGATGCTGTTATTTTAGAGTTTTCCTTATCCACTGCCTTTTTCGTGCCTTGGCGGGTGCGTGTCGACTACTGCACGGCGTGGGTCGTTAGTTGACTGGTGAAACAGCGGGAATAATGTCTGCAATTCTAATCTCGCTCGTCTTTTGCCTGTTTTTGGTTGTCTCGAAGATTCGAATCGTCATGAAAGAGTCATCTCGAGGCTTTTTCTTTGCATCTCTTGCCCATCCTTGGTCAGCATACTGGATCCTCCTTCTCTCGACCGAACCCTGTTTGCGAGGCGATCAAGTGGTGCTGTTGTGGAAACAACCCGGCCGCAGAGGTGCTGTTTTTTTTTACTCTCTCTTGATGAATTGTCTTGGGTATTACGGTGCTGGCCAAGCCGAGCCAGGCGAACAACGGACGAGTAGATAGGCAAGTATGATGGCAGTGGATGGCAGTGGATGGGCGTGAATGGCTGAATGGTTGGATGGATGGATGGATGGTAATATGGAGTCGGTGCCTGCATATACGTGGTACATCCATGAATACGAGCAGCCCAGCCAGCCCCAGCCCCAGTAATGAGCCACCTTTACGCAGCAAAGGAGAGAAAAAGGTCGGAAAAACAAAAGAAAAGCCCAACCACCAGCCACAGATTCTCTTTGCCTCTTCCAACTTTGTTCCCAATAAGCTGCTCCGCCCTAATGCACGCCGTAATTGGTGACGAGCATAAGCTCCGCTCGGAAGATCAAAATTTTACAAGAAATCTACGTATTCCTCGATATACTCGTGTGTCCAAATGGAAAAGAAAATCAGGCCAAGAATTTCAACCGACTTTAACAGCACAGATACAGGGGGGGCGTGAGCTATCCATTGTTCCCATTGTCCCCCGCGCCTTTTACGCGGGCCCTTTCTTGGCCGCAAAATCTCCCCAGTTATTCATTCAATTGCCTCCCCCGCTTCCGGGCACAAGTGATGAATATTGTTAATATTGGCAGCCGTCATGCAAAAGACACAAATCACCAAATCACCAAATCACCAAATCACCAAATCACCAAATTACCAAAATCATCCAGCCAGGCAATATTGATCCCCAGACTGTGCAACACTTACGTGATATCAGAGGAAAAATATGGGCATGGCGGTGGGGGTTTCGGGTCGTACACGGTCAAGTTGTGATTTGTGCCACATGGTTGCCCGTCATTAGAATCCGACTCTGACCGAATGTCAACTCTCTTTTGTCGTCATCTCTGGGTCTCTTCGTAATTCCAAAATAGCACAACCGTGGCTAATCTTTCTCCGTGTACTCAAAGACAGGGGCGTATATCCAACAACGATTTCTCCTGCCTCGTTGCCTTGTCGACTACCAGTAATTTAGTTACAAACAAAACCTGCCTGGGCGTGGCCGCACACATGTATAACTGCAGCCCTGTATAGGCGGCGATCCTGCACATCGTACGACGTGGGCTTCCCCCGCCACCTATTTTTTTCCTTTGTAGCACTGTGATTCAGCATCTTTTCGACCCCTTTGTGTACTCATTATTATTCTTTTCCTTTTCTTCTTTTCTTTTTTTTTGGTCCTCGGGGTGTAATTATTGTCCCTGTCCTGGAAGCTCAGACTTGCGTGACAGCACCCATTTGGCATTCACCAATTAGACGTTTGGTGTGCATGATAATGGCATGAACAGCGGAACCATGATTATGCTGGAAAACCATTCGATGGCTGCCCAAACTCTAACCATCTTCAGCTGTTTTTTCTCGTTGACATACACAAGGTCAAATCCGCGACCACCTTTGTTGATCGGCAACGCATCGCGATGCCGTGTTGCCCTGATGAGGCCTTGCCACCCGATATTGCATTGAACATGTCGACTGCGATGTCCGCAGCTCGTAATGTATAAGAGAAACTCGCCATGTATAAAGAGACTATGCATGTCTCCCATTGTTGATTCCCCGTTCTTGCCGAGCTACTCTCTATGATGTGATTTGGACGAGTCCCCTGTGACTGGACGTTGCCGTGACCTGTACGACTCACACGCTTTCAGCGGATTTTTACCTAATCAGTTCTCTTCTAATTCTTTTTCCATTTACCCATTTGTAATCTTGTCAATTTGTCCTACTTTGCTTTCACATCGATTCCAGTGGCAACACCCGAGGCAAGCCTTCCCAGTCCTCAACTCAACAAGTCCACTTCTTGGGCGTGTCCCCAACTAGTCCTGTCATGCATGAAAGCAGCCCACAATGTTGACAATCGTACCTTGAAAATCCTTTAAAGCGGCGCTGAGATTTTCCACAATATGCCGTTCGTTACGAACCGGCATTGCCTGCCTTGGCTGCCCGCCACCTCATACCCAGTCCAGTCACAGTCAGTGTAGCCCGAGGTGGGTGCCCAGCCCGGCACCGCCGCCGTTCAGCTTCGCCACCTTCTGTCCAGACGGACAAACTTAATGTCCTCTTTATTATTGATTAACTGTCTCTTTATTGCGTAATATATACTCGGGAAACGCACCAAAAACAGAAAGGGAAAAAAAGCGCTCACCTTGGAGGCTTTACAGGAGCTGTTGCCATGGGTGTCGCACAGCCGCTGGTTGCCTCAGAGCTGGGTCACAACAACCCATCGAAGTCTGGCCGACAGAACCTTCATGTCGTGTGTGTACTTGCGCACCGCAGCATGCTGCGCATGTGCAGAACGTACATGGTTGCTGCGGGATCGTTTTATTGATATGCACTGTACCCTCAGTGAGTCCACCACATCATGCTGGCATGTGCGTGCTCCGATTCTCATCATAGTGCTCCGGAGCCGGACAGCTTGGCAAAGAGAGGTCAGCTCTCTCCGGTCTGCTGCGCAATGTCAATTAATTGAAACATTCATGAGCAGTATGGTGCCGTGCCTGCATGGAGAGGTAGATCCGAAATCAGAACATGATGCTAATAGTTTGGGGGCCATGTTGATTGAAAGGGCATACAGTATTGTGGCGATATCGCTCTCTTGTCCAGCTGGGAAACGAATCTCAACCATGTGTAAGTATCCTACAGACCTGCATTAACAGTGAATACCCTACGATTGAGCCAGCTGCAGTATCAAGTTTGTCGTTAGACAGCTGCCGGGTAAGATGTACGCAAGTAATCTTACAGTCTTAGCCAAGTGTTGCGCAGGGTCATCATCATGGATAGTATTCATCAAATCCTGCAAAGTGACTAGTCCAAACGTCTTGCACCACCAACTCCTCTACCGCATCGTTGATAATCACATGACCTTGTTCATTACATCGTTTCTCCAATCCCACCTACTCGTTGACCAAGACATAACGGAAGCGAGCCTTGCCTGCCTCCATGTCGATGATTGCCTGGTTAGCATCCGACATGGGTCTCTTCTCGATAAACGGCTTGACATTCTTCTTGGCCGCAAACTCGAGCATCTCGCGAATCACCTTGGGGCTACCAATCGCCGAGCCGGCGAGGCTGCGGCGGCCTGTGAGCAGCGAGAAGATGGGCACAGGCACAGGCTCCTCGGGCGCGCCAACCTGGACCATGCTGCCGTTGAGGGCGAGTGTGTTCATGTAGTCGGCAATGGGCATCTTGGCCGACGAGACAGTCGAGATGATGACGTCGAAGCGCCGGGCATTGTGCTGCGACCACTCCTTGTCGTCCTCGGTCGCAATGTAGTCGTCGCAGCCGAGCGACATGGCCTCGTCGCGCTTCGACGCCTTGCGCGAAATTCCCACCACCTCATCAGCGCCGAGCGCCTTTGCAAAGATGACGGCAAAGTGGCCCAAGCCGCCGACACCAGCAACGCCCACCTTCTTGCCGGGGCCAACGCCCCAGTGTCGTAGCGGCGAGTACACTGTCACGCCACCGCACAGCATCGGCGCGGCGTACTCTGGCGCGAGGCCGTCGGGGATCTTAAAGACAAAGTGCGACGCCGCGCGGTGGTATAGCGCGTACCCGCCGTACGCCTTATCGCCGTTGTAGTGCTTGCTCCCGTACGTGTTGACCAAACCGTTGACGCAGTAGGGCTCTTCGTTCGTCTTGCAGGGCTCGCACGCCTTCTTACCGCGGCCGAGGCACGAGTCACCCTGCGCGCCGACACCGACTACGTCGCCAACCTTGATGCCGCCTTCGGCCTTGGAGCCGACGCGAACAGCGACACCAACAATTTCGTGACCGACGACGCACGGGTAGGGGGTAGCGCCCTGGAAGGGAGGTTAGCTCCAACAGAACGTCTGACGGTTACGCTTGAACAGCTTCAAGGGCCGTTCCAGAAGCGCGCGTGCTTTCAGTAACTTACCCAGCCGGAACGCAGAGTGTGCAGATCGGATCCGCAAATGCCAGAGTGTGTAATCTTGATGTCGATGTCGTTCTCTTCCCATTTTTTGGGCTCAAACTCCTTCCAAACCATCTTGCCGTTGGCGGACTCGGCGGACTCTCCCATCCAGCCTTCAAACTTATAGTCGGTCGACATTTTGAAAAAGAGTGTAACTTTTGTCGCGTTATGTAGAGGTATAAGTGATTCCGAGATATTGTAAAAGAACAATGGTATCAACAAGTAATGGGAAGCAATAAGTTGAGCAAAGCAAGGAGCTCCTTCGATCCCTTTTTATACCGTCCGATTTCAGCAAAAAGGAAAACTCAAAACCATGATGGCGGTGATATCATTGAATGGAATGCTGCAGACCCTCTAGCCGTGCCCGCCCGGATTGGTCTGCCGCTAACTAGTGCCGGAGAGCATCGAGACGGTCGATCAGGAAGGCCAATCACGGCGCAACCTTATCACCGACAAGACCCAACAGGATCCATCGGCGGTAGCGCCGCCCAGATTTTCGGCGATAGATGATGCACACACACTGTCGCAACTCCACGACTCTCCATGGAAGCTTGTCGGGGGCAAAGGCACTGGAGCGGCGGAGTTTGAAGGCTGAGTCTTTTTATATATATCTTTCCATGACCAGCTGATTACCGAGCGGAGCAGTTTTGACTGGAGAACACCAGGAAACAACGGAATTAGTAAAGTGATAGCGGAGTTGAACATGTAGTGTTCAAGGCATTGACAGCTGGTGCGCTTGTGTGGAGCGTCTCTTGACTTCGGACTTAAGGGAGATATATTCCTGCTGTGTCGATCAAGATGCCGCGGCCCAAATGATAAGAGTCGGAAGCGCTGGCAGTTGTCCGGAAGCGCTGACAGCTGTCCGGAAGCGAGCGCAGAAGCCGACGGAAACATTTTTTCACGGTCGGGAAGGGTCTTCTTCCATCAGCCCCCAATTGACGCGTTGGCAAATCAGTTAACGCATCCGGCATGGTCATGTGCAAAGAGGACGGTGCTTCTTTCATCAACTTCATCCAACAGCACCCTCGATGACCTTGTCAAGAAGCTCTTCTTCTACCGCGTCGTACCAATCTTGCGACTGCATGCCCTGGTGCACAAGAGCTTGCAGACCCTCGAGCAGAAAATTTTGACAGTTCCAGCCGCCATCCTTGTGTCGACCCGCGACAGGCGTCGCCGCCACGACTGATACGGGCGCCATGACGGAATCGCCACGGACCATTATGGCGCCAGCGTTGACGTGAGCGAGGTAGTTGGACGGCTCGGACCAATCCGTCTTGCCTGGCAGACGATAGACGTTCCAGGGCGCACCCTCTTCCTGGCGCTGGGTATGTATCGTTTCGTGCAAGGTCGAACAGTCGGGGGACGAAAAGTAGAGCAACACGTGCCGGTTATAGTAGGTGTCGGGCTGGCCGCGAAATATGAAGATGGTCATGCAGACGGTGAACAGGCGGTCCGAGAGGGCGTACTCGGTGGCGAGCTCGATTTCGGGGCCCTCGTGTCTAGCCAGCGCCCGCGAATCGCAAAAGGGACCGTGGGCGGAAGATCGGACGCTGGAAATCATGTTGACAGGACTTTTGGATTGCCGGGGGCGTTTGCGTGAGGCAGGTTGATGGCCAGGCGAGGAAAAGTGGCGAGAGCTCTGCTTTGTTGGCTGAAACTTTCTGCGGGGTAGCGGTGGTACAAAATGCTGCTTCGCCGTGAGCCGCGCAGGAAGACGTGACGAATGACTGGGGAGGCAGAGAGGGTAGAAGAAGAAGATATGTCTGTATACGGTTGAGGCTGACGAGACTTATAGATGGCCCTGCTTCTTGCATGCATGACGCGTTGTGCGCCTTTGGTGCCACATGAATCAAAAGGTAGACGAACGGGCATGGCCGCCTGCATGTAATGAGTACCTACTGCGGAGTAAAACGTCGGATCCCTACGCAGATTGAAACTACAGGTAGCTGCAAGGCTCATAAAGCTTTGAGTTTGTCGACGCAGGTTGTACCGGTTTGTTCTCACTTCAAATGTCGAGAACGGAAAGTTTCATGCTACGGAGCACGCCGAGCAAGGTAAGCTCACAAGACGACTAGATACGCCCACAACCCTTGGCATCCGGAAATAAAGTAGAGCCTGAGCCTGGCTCACTATTGCTCCATGATCAGATACTGTGTAAACACAACAGCGCATCGCTATCGCCGTGCCACTGAATCGAAGCACGATGATATCCCATGAGAACATTGGTACCGGGTATGTGATGACGTAATGCCTAAGATGGGCATCAAAGGTTGGTAGATTTTTAACTTGTGAATATGTGAGCGACGAGAGCATACGACCTATATCAGAGTTAAGAGGTTGCGAACAAAGTCGGTGTTCTGATTTTAACATTTTTGGACCTTCAAATTGTTGTTTGACAGGCGTGACAGGATCGATCTTGAAAGCGAGATGTTACGTCACGTTTCTTGAACGGGACCAACGACTGGCTGGGTACACAGGTACTTGGTGGCTAGCCGGAGTAAAGCCGGCGCAAAAACTGGCAGGCAGGGGTGACTAACAAGGTACATGCTGTACCGAGGCGTCAAGGAGGCAAAACGGGTAGCAACGGTCCTCGCGTATAGGAGACATCGAAACGAAACCGATTGATTGCATCTGCATTCAGCCTTGAAAACCGAGTAGTTTTGCACAGATACATATCATGTATCATCCACAAAGCGGCGGACTCCCCGAACCGTCAGCGCAATCCCAGCCAGATGATGCAACCAAGGTAACAAAGCCGAGTAGGCGCACGGGCCAGGCACAGGCTTTTCCTTCACCAATCAAGTGTCCCGATTGTTCCCGAGCGCCTGCTGTAATTTTTTTCTAGTGCCTTGATTAGTGGCTGAAGCCCCCTGAAGCCCGCCAACGTCCCTCCTGTGGGCGGGTCCGCCTTCCGCTGGGCAACCTTGCTAGCCGGCTTGAGAAAAAAAAAGTCTCTCAAACCGCTCTCTGGCCGAAACGTCTTCCCTTTTCTCCTCCAAGCACCTTCTAACTGCTGCAATTCTGTGATTTTCACGGCTCGTCTCATCCATCTCTCCACTCCGTGTCCTTGTTCTGCTTGCTGCATCTTCGCATAACATCCCCTCACAATCACAATGGCCTCCGACGCGAAATCCACCGGCTCGACCAAGCTCGACGCCGTCGTCCAGAATGTCAAGGCTGCCGATCCCCAGCAGCTGAGCGGCCTCGCCCTCTACTCTCGCTTCGCTCTTGCTGGTGCCATCTGCTGCTCCGTCACCCACGGTGCCCTGACTCCCGTCGACGTGTAAGTCTTTACCGACTCTCCTCATACGTCGTTGCGGCGCGACGGCTTCCCCTGGCTTCGTCGGCCATCCGGATCTGAGCCATCGCGCACCGCCGCCAAACAATAACTCCAAATCAATTGACTAATCCGCTCCTCTCAACAGCGTCAAGACCCGTATCCAGCTTGACCCCGCCACCTACAACCGCGGCATGATTGGCGGCTTCCGCCAGGTCGTCCAGAACGAGGGTGCTGGCGCTCTTCTCACTGGTTTCGGGCCTACCGCTGCCGGCTACTTCCTCCAGGGTGCTCTGAAGTTCGGTGGTTACGAGTTCTTCAAGAAGCAGGCCATTAACCAGCTTGGCTACGAGACTGCTTCCAACAACCGTACCGCCGTCTACCTCGCATCTTCGGGTCTCGCCGAGTTCTTCGCCGATATTGCTCTCTGCCCCCTCGAGGCCACCCGTATCCGTCTCGTCTCCGAGCCCACCTATGCCAAGGGTCTGATCGACGGCATGGGCAAGATGCTCAAGAATGAGGGTCTCGGTGCCATGTACGCTGGATTTGGACCCATTCTGTTCAAGCAGTGAGTTGCGCCATTTCACAGTCGTCGCCCAACCCCCGACTGCGCGCTAACACAAATCCCAGGATCCCCTACACCATGGCCAAGTTTGTCGTCTTCGAGAAGGTCTCCGAGGCTGCTTTCCGCGCTTTCCCCAAGGAGAGCCTCTCCCCCTCTGCCCAGACTGGTGTCAACCTGGGCTCTGGTCTGATGGCCGGTTTCGCCGCTGCCCTCATCTCCCAGCCTGCTGATACCATGCTTTCCAAGATCAACAAGACCAAGGGTCTCCCCGGTGAGGGCACTGCCTCTCGTCTCGTCAAGATCGCCAAGGAGCTCGGTGTCAAGGGCTCTTTCACTGGTGTTGGCGCCCGTCTCGTCATGGTCGGCACTCTGACCGCCGGTCAGTTCGCCATCTACGGTGAGATCAAGAAGGCCCTCGGTGCCACTGGCGGCGTTGAGATTGCCAAATAAGCGATCTACGATACTTTGTCCTGATAGCCTTAGGACGCGTAGGCGTTAATGATGTGGTGCGTCGCGCGCCGTCGCGCGCCGTCGTGCCCATAGGCGGGTTGAAACTGCCAAATTGAAAATAGTTTCTTTTGTTTGAAAGGCGGAGTGGAGGATGACAGGTAACAGGCCAGGGTGGAACAAGGGGACGAAAAAATGGCCTTGCGCATGTGCCCAAGAGCTGGGCTGCGCAATCTGCGGCTGCTTCTTTCCACACGAGCATATAGAAAGCGAGCAACACAATCAGCTTGCTGGGGCATGCATGCGGACCTATTGCAGCAAGGTTACGCGACACTTTTTTGTTTTTTTTTTAATGTCATGTTGCCGCTTCGGATTCTGACGAGAGCAGAGTGTGAGAGTAGAGAAAGTCTTTGGTACTTGGGATGGGATACATTCTAGACGTTTAGAGCTTAGAGGATTTGCCGCATCCCGGCTAATGGTTGTACACTAATCGAATTCGTGCGTCTCGATTTAAAAGTTTGCATGTCACAAACTATGTCCCATAAAATATTTGTTTAGGCGTGAGATGATGCCACATCGTCTAAGGGAGGGAGAGGAACGAGATTGAGAAGCACCAAAGCCCAGTTGTTTGACTTGCCCACGCAAATTTTTCGACAAATAAGATATGCCTGCCGCTAAATCGTGAAACTGCTTTCAAACCGAAAGAGTCGAAGAAACGCCTGTATTCTTGTGTGAATGGGTGCTTGGAGTAACTTGATCGTTGTGGTCGATTCACATGATTGAAGCAGGATGGCGATTGGTCGTGCAGCTCCCTGACGGGTATTGCAGATGATAGTGATGTTTCGGGCACTTTTCTCGCGGCTGCTATGACCTCTGTCTTGAAAGATAAGAAGCCGACTGCTTGAACGACGAAATCATCTAGAAAATGTCTCTTCTATAAGGCAGCAAGGCGGAAGGCGGCGTCCAGGACTTTGTTGACAGTCAACTATGTGTTGAAGTATTCGTTAAGTTGGTTATTTCTGTCGAGGCTCCTCAACTTACTTCCATCTCAAGACGCAGCAGAGACGTAGCCCTCGGGACTAGAGGATCAACCTTTTCTTTGAGAGGCGTAACGAGCTCTGCGGTTAGCTGTCGACGGCCATGCGTGGTCACTAGATTTAGACTCATGAATCTGGCCTTTTCGGCGCAGTAAAATATACACTTCCGCAGCGATTGGTCCCCTTTCTTCTTTCTACTCGTCGATTCAATGCCTCGGCATCTGAATGCCGACCGACCGTCACGTACTGGCGATGAACCAACCAGTGGACTCCTTCCACTTCACCACCTTGTTCAATCACTCACAGAGGACGAAGAGAAAAGGTGACAAAATGTCGTTGTTGGCAATCTGCAGAGGTAATTGCCGTCAAGTACAGGACCCGGCGCTTAGACGATGTGCGAGGCGCCTGCAGTGCGACACGATCACGGTCGCACTACATGACACTATAATTTCATTACTCTAATGAAACACATGTTCAACAGCATTTCCAAACTAAAAACCTAATATAGACTGTATCCTAATTTCACAAGCCGCAACGTAGTCGGTACCGGCCACCCGCGTGGTTACTGCAAAGGACAAACTCAATTCCAGGCCTGATGTTACTGGAGGGACACGTAATTTATGATGACCGTGTCAGCTTCGAAGAACTTTGCTTTCCTTTGACAGTTCAACTTTGAAAGCAATGACGGAATGCAAAAAGTTACACGCTATCCTGCAAGACGCGGTGGCGTCGGGGCGACGATGCCACGGGCAAGGTCCTAGGCGCGGCCTTTGTTGTGACTAACAAAGACGGCATGTCAAGGCCTCGACGCTGACGGCCGAGATTCCGAGGCCAAAAAAAATTGCAAAATGTCTCGCCACTTTTTTTTGATACCTCTGCTAACCTTTGATCTACCCAGATTTCGTGTATTGCGATGCGGCCGGCCGCATCGGCCGATGCGGGTAGGGGCGGGTGTCCCGGTGCACTCGTCGCTCCCACGCGGCAGAAAAATGCCCGGCGCGAGCGTACAGAGAGGGCTGGAAGCCTTGGCGACCGGTGTGGATAGCGAGCGACATGGGTAGATCTAGAGCTACATTTCATTGCATAGGATCGGTTCTCGAGGAAGTTCATTCATGGCTATCCTGTGACTAGCAAACATGTTTACTAGAAGATGACATCTCCAGGCTTATAGCTCGCAGACGCTGCGCCGGCCTGAGAATGAAATAAAGAGAGAAAAATAACCTCGCCTTCTAATGCTCCCTCTTTAGAGGTCTTTCAGGGCACACTCCTGAATCTCCTCAGTCCCCCCAACCCGGATGTCCTTCTCCTTGACGCAGACCTTTGCCTTCTCAATGCACTGGCTGTGCTTCGCCGGCTCGCCCTTCTGGCCCGCGCACGCCTCTTTAAAGTCCAAGCACCGCAGTAGCTCCGTATCCGGGGTATCTTGCGGCATCTCCTTCAGGCACTCTCCGCTCGCCTCCCCGCAGGCGTCGTCCGGGTCCTCGTGCAGGAACCGGCTGCAGTGTTCGCTCATCAGAAGCATCGCCTCCCGGATCCAAAGCTCCTCGGCGCTGGGTGGCTGCCCGACGCCGCCGCTGAGGTTCGCCTTGATCCAGGGGATGTAGCTGCCGACGCGGGTGAAGACGGTCGGCATCTGGCCGCATTCGGCGCCGTTCTTTTCCTTGGGTACCCACGAGGTGATGCCGATGAGCGTGCCGGTGGCGGCGTCGAAGAGCGGGCCGCCGCTGTCGAAGTTGCCCACGCCGCGGCCCCCGCCGCCGGCGCACACGATAGAGTCCCGGCCGCCGGCGTTTGGGTCGGCTTGGATGCACACCTGACGATCGTGAACGGGGAGCGTGACCTTGTGAAGCTTGCTGACAGGGCTGGGAACGTGGAACGACTCTGCGCCTTGATCCCCCCTTTATTTGATTTGCCACCGCGTTAGCACGGGTAATTCTCTTTTGATCTGCCTCTCCTCCCGACGACCCGTACCGACATGACCGGCCGGGCTGGGCATCGGAACCTTAAACGAGGCGGAGGGGGGCAAACTTACCAGCCTACGGTGATGGCGGTGGAGTTGGGCGCGGGGTCGGAGCCCTCCTCCGGCAGCTTCGCGTATTTGATCTTGTCGCTCTCCTCGATCGCGGTGAGCAGCTTCCAGATCTGAATGTCGTTGGGCCAGTACGTAGGCTGCTCGGCTTTCGGGAAGCCAAACGGGGCCACGGTCGCCTTGACGTACCCGGACACCACTCCGCCGGAATCCGAGATCTGCCAATGTTATCATCTCGTTTGCCGCCTGTCGGCGCGTTTCGGCCTTCGGCACCTCGGCCGCTCGCCGCCTCAATGGTCAGGCGCAGCAAGGCCTGGCTAGGATCGGGCGGGCGGGCACTTACCGTCGTTCCTACCCTCACGACCCTATCTTTATCATGGGAGATGTCATGCTTGCCACAATGATCGGCGGTCAAAACGGTGGTGCTGTCCAACAGGACACCGCCGCACTCATGCCCGTTCGACTGGAAACTGACCATGGACGGAAACTCGCCTTCCGCCGCTTCCTCTCCTCCGATAATCCGTTTATCGATGGATCTTGCCGTGGTCGAAGTCGTAGAGAGCGCGAGGACAAGCGCGAGACTAGTTTTGGGCACCATTTTGAGCGGGTGGGTGTTTGCTGGCTGTTAAAGAGTGGCTAAGAGCAGAGAGCTGTCGAGATGAGTGTTGGTAGGATACTGGAGAGATGGGTGCCGCTTCTGGTCTCTTTATACTCGTACTATTTTGTCAATTTGACTCTGATAAGTTTGAATACACCAGTAGTCCGGATAGTCGTTGAGAGAGAGTAAGCTCGAGACGTGTGAGGGTCTTCACACGTCTCGAGCTTGGCTCTATGCAAGCCCTGTGCGCCTTTTGCCTCCATAGGATATCCACAGGCGTAAAATAATCCAAACATCTATGCAAGCCCTGTAATACTAGTCCCATCCCTTCATTCGCCAAGAGGCTCCACGACAGTCACTCACGAGGATACATGGTAACGAATAGTAATTATGTTTTTACCCGGTGTACTGGCATCTCTCAATACCGATGAACAGTCTATTTCCACGACTACACACAGGTACACGTATGTCTACTTGGGCAATACTCCGTGCTTAAGTGTAGTTAGATCGGACTACCTCATCTGTAGGCCTAAATCTTGAAGTGCCTTGCGGAGTCGTGGCACCTGAAGGCATGAATGTGGTCTGTAGTAGAAAACGAGTTGTTCCAAATAGAGGGCTCTATTACTCGCTTGAGCAAACAACCGTCGGTCGTGCAAATAGCTTAACTGACCAAAAAAAAGTTGACCAACTTAAGGGGACCTCAACTATGCTGACTGACTCGAAGTATGCACTGATTGAACGAGATTAATTAGAGATTGAGTCATGAAGCAGGGCAAGTACACATGCTACGGCGCATGACGTGGCTGTTAACGGGGATAGTAAAAAAAATATTTTATATTACTACACGCGTCGGCCTATCCTATATACTTGACCTCATAGCACCATTATTGGTCGCAGATGAGGTAGACTAGTGCAAATTAGCCGAAAGACTATAGTCGGATGCCACGGATCTATCTCCGAGTCGATAAATTTATTATTTTAATCCCGTGACAATCCTTATTCCACGACTATATCCAGGTCCTAGTTTAGGCTCTAGAGGTGCTTATTGGCCCTGGGTAAGGGACCTTGACGTATTGTCGTGGGTAGATTAGCATTACGAGGTATGTGTGGGCTGCAGCGACCTTTTCTTGTTGGGCATCACAACGAGCCCAGCACCGTAGTTATGACCAGCCTCCCCTTTACCTCGGTACACCCAGTTATGTCGTGCATCATATATCGCATCAATTTGGTAGAAATCATCATTTGGCCACACCGCCTCGGTCGTCTATACGCCCTATACATGTGAACGGCATAGTTACAGTCTCCCCCGTGAACTGCATATCGATTCGGCCCCAGACCCTAGTACACAACTGTTGGTCCCGAAATTCTTTCCAGTCTTCCCCCTTGTCTTTTGATTTTTTTTTCTTCCCGATTCTTCTCGTTTATCCCCTAGATATATACCAAGTTTACAGCAGTGCTCGACGGGCAGCTTTATGCACAACCTGTATCTAATACGCGCTAATACTAATTTAACAGCACACTAGATTAGAAATAACTTGGCGAGCTTTTTTCTTTAGCGGGGGGAGGGGGGGGCCAAAGTTTTCAGCCAGCAGCCGCGTGTCGCTGTTAAGGTAGCGCGTGTAGGCGCCGGGTCTTGGCGAGACTTAATGCGAAAGGATGAGGCCTCATACGGTCGCTCACGTGTGGGTTTGAATGAGATTCTATGCTTTGAAAACAAGAAATCGCATGAGAGTGGTGGGAAAGAACAAGTGCGTCAGACATAGAGGAGCGGTCTACACCATGACCCCCCAAAAAAGCCAACCACATGGCCACCCCTACCAGGTTACAGTGTTTCAGCTCCTGATAGACTGGTTCATAATTAATGAGCCAGATATCAGGTCTGATTCGTAACATGATCATGAAAGGGTTTTCTAGTCTTTGGCCCGTGACTTGTATGGACGCTGAGTGACTTGGGGTTTGTCATCTCCGCCGTCCGACTATTACCCCCCGCGACTGTGGGTTGTGGAAGGAGGTTTGTCTGTACGCTAAATACACAAAGGGTCAACACAGCTGCGCCCTCCATAAAAATGAATACGTGGGGCTAGAGAAGATAAATAATCGTGAACAGTTGTCTGTTTGGCGCAAAGAATGGCTACAGGTTGGTGGGCGCAGGCAAAAAGTCAGACCCCCCCGTAAACTGGCGGGGCGGCGGCTTGTCGTCAACTCGGCTACTCGGCTACTCGGTCGACGCGCGCGGCTCATCACGGCGGAGGATTAGGCTATTGCACTACATTTACAAAGCGGCTAGCGCAAATTGGCACCTTGAAAATCCAAAACTGGCGCATTGTCTGGCGTGCGGACCTGTTAGCACATGGGTAGGGCGTTCAGGCAATAACTAGGGGTAACTGCGATTGATGCTAGCTTCGAACAATGCACTGAGCTTCGGCATTGTTGGCCTCCTCATGCGCTTACGCCGTGGAACTCGAAAAAAAGATGTTGGACAAATAAATTCAAAAGACAGAGTCCCCGTCTCGCACGTGTACATGTCATTGGCCAGTGTGATAGATATCGTCGTCCTCTACCTCATCCTGTTGACGCCTAATATCTCGATTGAAGAACAACACACGATTGTGACTAGGGAGATTATCTAAAGATCTAACTGCCAGCCAGCAGTGTTTCATCGAGCGGTAGCTCTTGCACACCATCTCGATGTTCTGGCGTGAAGCAAGTCAGCACCTCTCTGATTGTTTTCAATGTGGATTTACTAAGAAAAAAAAAAAGCGTCGGCACCTCCCTACTTACTAGGATTAGTCGGCACCCCCCTGCCTCTTGTAAATGGAATTTCTTCCCACCTTAATACATGTCGACACCTGCTGCCCGACAATGATATTAATTGATAGGGCCGACTCCTGTCCCAGTCTTGGTCGGCGATATGCAGATCGACGTCTTCATGCTTCGGAATTGCTTGCATAGCGACTTGGTAACCCAGTCTTCGGGTTGGACGTCGTCTGCCCAGACTTCCCAGTCGACACGGTACTGGAACCGTCCCGGCTGGTTAGGTTGAGCCTGCAACCACTTGTTGAGAGAGGAAAATCTCTCAAGCGCGATAGTCAATCCCGAGTTAGCGCATTTTCCTTTAAGCGTAAACCCTAGACTAGGTTAGCTTTTTAAAGAAGAACCTTGAAAAAAACAATAGGAGAGCGTGGGGAGATGTTTTACACACCAGCAATTTCCCACATGTCTCCTCCAAATGTCCAGTCTGTTAGCTCATCAAGAAGACGGAGTCTTTTGATTTTATCCAGTGCCACAGTTTCCATCCCAAACACGTCCTGCATATTGATATTCTGGGTAACCTCGTAACCAGGGGAAGGGCCTTCTGTGATGACGTGCACCGTTTGTCCAGCGTCCTCAAAACCTAATTTGATCTTGTCGTACGTCCCGGATCCAATGTTGTTCCCTAGCTTGAATTCAAGAGATAGCGTCTCTAAGCGAGTGCATAATTCCCTCTGGCGCTTGAACGTCCAGTCCGAGGACTTAGCTGCCGCTATCGGTGTCGTTACGTTGCAAATGAAGGAAGTGACCTTGTCATTAAACTCAGGACGCCCCGTGTAGAGGTTAACGGCTTCAGTACCAGCTTCAAAGTACTCGCCCTTACACTCTGGCTCTCTATAGAAAAGAGTTTTTAGTCATATTAGTTCTCCGTGCAACTTAGCCAACAGAAATAAGCACTTACAGATAAAAGCGGCAGATACTGGCACTATCGCTTGCCCTGACGCCAGATACCTTGTTCTTATACTCGTCTGGTATGGCGACTTAAATCTAGCGCATTAGTTAATAGAAACTTGGGCGGAATGACGAAACTTACCGCAAAGGCCGCTAGGGGCTTCGACCGTAGTACAAGGGGGGTTGAGAGGGTCGTTTACGCAAATTTCAACGCCCTGTCCTGGATTTTGCGCCTGGCATACGCCTGCGACGGTGACGAATATCACCACGCATCCGGAGGGAGACCAAGGTAGCCACAGCATCTTTACCTTTCTAGGCAGTGAGAGTATTAGACAGTGAAAAGACGTAAGACTGCTTAAGCAAGACGACGGGCTTTTCAGATAGACACCGAGTGAAGCAGCAAGTCTACTACGTCGTTGTAATAGATGGAAGTATTATTGGTTTATATACTTGTGCTAAAATCTCTCGATGAATGAGAATTAGCCTAAAAACACACTATAGACGACCTCGTAGGCTATACACGAAAGTAAACTTGGTCTGAATAATACGGAAATCGCATGGATAGATCATCTGGCTATAGAATATAGGAAAGAGCTATATCTCATGGAAACAGGGTTGCTGTAATAGTCTATAGGAATAAGGTCCAATTACAGTCACCAAAGCGTAGCGTGCCTTCTCATCGGCCTAGCCGCCGAAGGGTCAGAGATCTTCAGCGTTGCCTCCACAGTGGATCGTTGTCAACTCAAAACAGCATCCCTTGCATATCCATGAACTACTGGGGTCCAGGTGCTATAGCGGTACAGTATTATCAACCGCGCTTAGCGCTCAGAAAGACAAAAATATTGAATTAATATGAGTGCGTTATAATATCAATTTTGAAGACCATCACTGGCCGTACGAGAAAATGCTCGTTGCGCCGCACAAGGTCGGGCCGACAAGCGACTACCGCCAGAAACCGCGGTTGCCTGGCAAGTCTCCACCGCGGCACGCTATCTCAACGACAAGCAGCGTCAGCGCCGTGACGTCGCTCAATTGCCAAATGCTGCAGAATCGGCGTAGTGTACTTTGTAGAAACAATGATCGGGCCTACTTCTTGCTCCTAAGAAATATCGCAACTTGACTCCCGTGGGCTTCTTGATCCATAATGAGATGCTGGTGGTCGAGCAAATGAGGGGAAGAAGCTTTATGTATGTAGTTGGCAGAGCAGGGCGAAGGCTGCCGCCTGCAACCCCAAAATTTGGTGGTAGGCTCGTTTCTGGGAAATGACCCGGGCTCCTTGTTTTCTAAAAGCTCGCTCTTCTAAGGTCGCTCAGCAGCCCGCACAGAACCTTTTGCTGCTGCCTAACTAGCTTTACTTCATGTCTACAAACAACGCACTGATCGGCTGTCCATGCTATACCACTGGCCTCATGATTACCCGCCTCTCTTGTTGCTTTTCACTAGCCAAAAAAAAAAAAAAAAAAAAAAAAAAAAAAAAAAAAAAAGCCCTTAGAACCATTTCGTTTCACTTTTGGTAAGTAGACATGAGACTGTCAAAAAGCGCCCCGCCTGTGCGGACGGATTGATTGTTTACTAGTTGAAACCGCTTCGGCGTGGCGGACAGAAATGCCGAGCTCGCCGTGGCTGAGGCGAAAAGTTAGGCGAAAGTACAGGCAAGAGAGACGACAGTGAGCCAATATTGAAAGTGGCCCGCTTTTAGATACCGACAAGATCCGGATACATTAGAAAATTTATATAAGAAAAAGAAACTTGACATATGTGTCAAGATAGCGCATAACTAAGTCAAGGTGGGATGTGATATACAACAGCTATTAAATATCATTGAGGGCCTCAGGCTAGCTTGTACCACGTTATCAATATGCCTGTTACAGATATACGGATCACTAATGCTATATGAATAATTTCGTGATTTCGACTGCGTGTGGATATAGAGGACCTGTCTATACAGAAATTATTAATATGATATCCTCCTCTCAGCTTCTACCGGACGTAACATAGTCTTGAAAAAGTATATATAGAGCTGATGATAAATCATGTCGTTTTACTAAGACTGTCGACTCTACCCTTCTTCGAAATCTTTTCTCGCCTATTACACGCCTTAATATGAAGGTCGCTTTACTTGCTTTGCTAGCCCTAGCTGGGACATCCCTTGCCGGTCCGACTGCTGTCCTGCAAGTCCGGAGTCCGCCACTGGCTGGTTCAGAACAAGCCCGTGAGCTTTTCGAGCTAGTTAGGAAGGGAATGCTAAGCTGGGGCCTGGCGGGCGCTATTCATCCTCCCAGCGGGCACATCAGCGCCCCGTCGGCTAACCTACCCGGCGGCCTACCCGAACTAAACAGGGCCCATCCCCCGAAGCATGGCGGTGTGCCTGGTACGCCTGGCCACCCTCTTGGCCCTTATAAGAAGCAAGGGCGTATATATGACAGGCGCAGATCATGCGTAGCGCAAAAACGCAGCGGTATACAGTGCCCCGCCGGCACGAGGGCGACCAAACGAGCGTTCCCCAAGCTTCGCCTCAACGGGCAGGGCGGGGTCATGGTGGCTTTTTCGACCCTTTCGCCTCATGCGCATAAAATCCTGGATACGGTTAAGAACTGGGACAACCCAATTAGCGCCGCCGTTAGATGGTTTGATGAGTCAATTACGGGCCTCCAGGAGGCCATTGGTGGAAAGTACGTTCCTGAAATCGACGGTAACGAGCTAAAGCTACGGCTTATCTGTCTTTTCCGGGGTAGCCCCGACAACCCAGACGTCATTGACAACCTATGCAAGCGCCAGCAGGACGAGCCTCTCGAGATGAAGAAACAGCAGCAGGCCATTGATGGCCTAAACCAGGTTAGCGACCTGTGCCAAAAGGTAGAGGAACAGGGTCCTCCTATAGATGTCAAGGTAAAGAGGGACGTGTTAGCACTCTGTGACATATATAGCAAGACCTTGGAGGGCATGGCCGACGCTAACGCCGGCCTCATCCTGCTAGGCGAGTGGGCTCGTGCCCGTACGCTGAACAACCAAGACCTTGAGGAATCAGATGTGGCTATCGCACAAGGATTCATCCAAGACGGCGCCTTTGGTCCCGCCATAGCCACAAACGAAACAGAGGCAAGTGCTATTGCCGAGCTATACATGGCACACATGTCGAGCTACACGATTATGGAAGTTGAAGAGAACGGGGAAGAGGTGCTCATCGACCACACCAAGCCGCCCGTATGGCTCGAGCTGCTGCAGACGGGCGCGGGGTTTGTGCCCGAGGACCGGGGCGCGATTAACCAGGCGCTAAAGTTTCTTCAGGGCACGCCGTACCTGTACCAGTTTGATAATGAGGGCAGGGCGGACGATCGCTTCGACAAGGTCCAGACGTGCTGGAGCCACGCGGGCCTGCTCATGTTCCAGCCGAGGCGGTGGGACATGATTGCGGCGGCCATGACCTACCTCGAGGGCAGGGTGCGGGACCTCAACCTGGAGATGACGTTGGCGTGCGCGCCGTGCTTGGTGCCCACGGGCTATTGGGTGCTGCGTTGCGGATCGGCCGTGCCATGATCCGGAGATGGTGGTGGTGGTGGTGGTGGTGGTGGTGGTTTCTCGTACAGAACTTGATTCCTTATATTCAGACAAGCCCCATGAAATCATCTAGATCTAAACTTAAAAATCATCAGACTTTCCTGAAACATTAGCCAAAGAAAAAAAGTTTTATAAATTGCACCTAACGCTTGCGGTTATACTGCTTCACTCCGTCTCGTCAAAAATAATCCTCCGTAAATAGCTCCCCTGCTAAAAATCCTCCCTTGGTGAGTCTTGCCAATTTCCTAACAATCGCAACGCAGGGCTATTAAAAGAGTCTTGTTGAAGACCTTTATTTAGTGGCGTTGTCGGCGTCGCATCAGCCGAGTGCACACGTCCCGATATTCATAACTACTGACCACATCGTCCGTGATTATAATCTCGTCTCCTCGCTGCTCGAGAAAGAGTAAACACTTCTATTACATTCTTCATATTCTAACAACAAGTAGAATCACTTTCCTAGTCATCACCGATCCAAGGCCTGATAGGATACGCACAACAGCCGGATATCTTGTTCTAGCTACACACTTAAGTGGTGTTTTATATAAGGCATCATATGTTCACACCCTATTTAAACTAGCGTACTGTGTAAAAAAGAGGGGCTGACTTGCGACACCCGCGCGGACCGCGCTGGACGGTTTCATCCGCTCTGTGGAGACAAAAGGGCCATCTCATGCTAAACGCAGCGCCATCAGCATGACTTCTCCTCGGACACTTTAACAGCTGTTTAAAAGACGTAGCATCGTCATAAACAGAATAGCCGTATCCATTGTATAAACTACGCTTAGCAAGGAGCCAGGCTAAACGTCAATTGGTATATCTTTTCTCGAATAAGGAGAACAATCTCGAGAGTGTGTTTTAGGGCAGCCATTATTAAAACAGGGTATACGTTCCAGCTCCAGACGAAGATATTTATTAGCAGTTGATACGCACAAGTAGCCAACTTTGTGCTCATAGGCTATCCGAAACCCCACCACCTCCACTGGGGAGCAGATCGACCGAATTCAAGATTTGGCACGCAATTCGCTGAGTGGGCGGAAGAGCAGGGGTCCTCTCCATAACGAACCAGATACAGACACAACACGCGCGCGACCTCGTAGACCCTCAACAACTATAGACCTAGCGTTCTCGAACATCGACCGAGCCTCCGCAGTAGTGGAGGAGTACCTGACCGTAGGCTCACTACATTACACGGTGTGTACTGAAGTGCTGGCAGCAGAGCACCCCCAGCAGGTTATATGTAGATATAAGGTCTCCTCGGGCGAAAAAAATGGAAGATTGCGTTATTTAAGGCAGAGAAACTAGGAGTGGTGTCAAAATACTATTTCCATACTATTCACGCCGCTCAAGTCAAGCTTGAAGAATGTTTTAGCCCTCACAGATACTACACCCGCATACTAACGCGCAAAGCTCGAATGGAGCCAGAATACGCAGTGGATCAGCGAGGCACAGAGAGTGGTACGGGAGGCGTACGCCGAATACGAGACGGCCGCGGCAGAAGTGGACCTAGGTTCCTCACCGAAGAGGTAAAAGGAGGAGCAGAAGGACGAACTTATGAAGCGATTGCCGAGACCCTTGATCCGCTAAAGAAAGCCCGTAAGCGGAGCAGGCTCGCACGCTACGGCGACATTAAGACGAGGGGAAGAACACGTGTAAAGCTAACTAAGTAAAGTAAAGCCTTCTAGTTAAGTAAAGTAAGTAAAGTAAAGTATTCTACTAACTAGGTAGTCTAAATCTTTACTAATTAATCTAAGTAATTCTAAGTAATTAATTTTAAGAGTTTCATTTTTAATAATTCTTTATATAAAAAATATTTCTTATTATTACTT